TTTTATTGATTTTATTATTTCTTTTATAATGTATTGACTGTTTCCTTTGGTTTTTTTTCTTTGGTAGGATTAAAGTTTGGTACAAAAAAGGAAAAGAAACAAAAACAATGAAGATACTTTTAAAAATATTCTTTGAATGTTATATAACTGTTCATCACAAAGAATTGGATTTTTTTTATCAAAATCTAGGACAAAACATTAGTAGAACGAAAAAAGGTGATAAAAATAATGCATATTAACAGTAATCTATCGTAAAGTCCCAGAAAAAGCTTCATGAATGCTTCTTTGAGGTTACAAATATATATTAATAATTTATCTTATATTTTCATTCCTTCTTGTCCCTTTTTTATTTACAGTTTCATTATGTCTTAATATACAGCATACACATACACATATATAAATATATATAAATATTTTCAGATAGAGTGTATTTGTAAAGGAAGAAAATAAATAAAAAGACACAATGGAAAAACTATTCCTGGAATATATATGTATGTGTATGTATGTGTGTGTATTTGTGAAAGTAGTAGTGGTACAGCATTAGTATTTTAATAAATGAATAAGTATTAAAATTTTTATCCCACATTAGCTAACAAGGCTACTTTCTTATTTATGAGAATTAGGCTTTTTAACCCTAAATAACTACAAAATAAGAAGTGAGAAAGACTACACTCAACCAAAGAAGAAATAAGTGTTTGCTTATTGCACATTTGACCTAACATTGAAGAAATTGTGAAAATATACCAGGCATAGATTTCACACTAAATAAGCTGTTCAAAGTAGTGGAATAGAAACATTGAAATAAAGTAAGTTCATATTTGTCTGTATATATATTTTTTTTTAAATCTGTGGTATTATTTCATAACATTTAAATGTATACTCTTTCAAAATTTTTCTAGGTGTGCCATGATATTTTCTAAGTGTGCTGTTGCTTAAAAAGGTTGAGAAACATTGATACAGAGCAATAGTTTGCAAGTTAGTTTTGTCATATACTATTGCTAATATTGTGAGTTTAGTCCTAGATTTGTGGTCTTGTGCTGAGCTTAGCTGAATATTGCTAACAATTAATTTTTATTTCCTTTTAAAAGACAAGCATATTTTATCATTAAAAGAGAGTCATAACAGAAATGTCGATGCCACAACCTCAACCAGATTTTAAGACTGAAAGCTCGATAAAACTGCATTGTCAGTGCAGTGAAAAGGTTTGCCTGAAAGCTTGAATTACTGGCGCCATCTTAAAAAATTCTTTCTATGGCATGAGATAGATGAGAATGATTTTGTCTGGAAAGAAACCTAAGTGATACTGTCTAACAATACTTCTCATCAGAAAACCTTATATGATAGATTGAACTATGTGATCTCTGTCCACAATGAAATATGTTGTGTCAGGCAGGCTGTATCCAAGGGTCATGTTCGGCTGCCTGCTTCTAATTTTCAGACCTGCTTGACAAAGATTGACTTGGAAGACCTGGAAATGGTTTCCATGATTCAATATAAATTTCCAACAAGTATACTAGGTCATTTTTTATATGTAGAAATAATATGTGACCTTCTTTTTGGTATGATATTTTGATGTGCGCTTTTAAATTTGTCTCTACATGACAAATACTTTTATAACATATAAGTAAATAAGAACTGAACTAATCAATAGAAATTAATGAAAACTTACTGGTTAATGCAATGGAATAAAGTTAATGAATTTTGTCAATCCCCACTAATTAAATTTATGTGATATTAGCATTATTACAAAATTTATGCAATAAGTGATTTGATAATTAATGCATGCAACTAATAACTTCTGATGAATTAGAATTTTGTTATTACTTAATTATAATGATGAAGAATGGAATGATATAATCATTTTGTAGAAGCATTAGAGATGTATCTATGATGTTTAATGTATGTGTGTGTGCATATATATATATATATATATATATATATATATATATATATATATACACACAAATACACATATATATGAACACATATATATATATATACACACACACATATATATATATATATATATATATATATATATATATACATACAATCTACTCACTTGATCATCATGTGAGCATAAAACTTAAATAACAATTTGAAATTTATCTCTGTCTAAGGTGTGACAACATAAAGCATTTTGCTCTATTTTGTTAACCTAGGCATAGAGCACTGTTTGTTACTGTTTAAGTTGGTGTCTGCCTTTTGATCTTTTTTTTTTGTTTCATTTCTTCCTTTGTATAGTGTTTTCTTGGTTTTTGCAATATAATTTGTTAGTATTTTATTTTTATTGAGTTTTATTTTGCTCACCTCGCAGTTTTTCTGTTGGTTGTACCAGCACACTGGACTTTTGTGGATCTTTGTTTATTTATATATATATATATATATATATATATATATATATATATATATGCACTTTTACACTGTTCCTCATCCCTGTCTGGAGGTTGTATAATAAAATTAATCAGCTAATTGTGGAAGTATAGAGGTATGTGGCTGAAAAGTTATTAATATTAGGTTTTAGCTATCTGTCTATATTTCTGAGATGAGGTATTATGTACACTATTTACTTTGCTCGGACTATCATCCTTGTTGCCATATTTATCACAATGTTTTGGTCGTTGTACGCTCCAGCCTTCTTCAGGTGATTGGAATGTTGAACTGAACTCTTTATTTCACTCGCTGGGGTAGACGGTTCTAGTTCCACGTGCCATGTCTAATGGATGTCAGTTATCTCCTGTTAATTCCCCTCTCCAAGTTATCCACTGCCTTAACCAGGCATTGAACTCACACACTCTTTGTGTCCTGTCACTGGATCTAGCTAATGCCTTTATCCACTGTGCCATGTGTCCTCAAGGATAAGAAATAGAGTAGGTTTTAGCTCTGTACTTTTAACATTTTATATTAAACTTGCTAAATTTTGCAATGTAAGCATTTCTGGCACTTATAAAATCCACCTCTTCTCCCTGCCAGGAAGAAGACTTTATTTGGGGAGACCTAAGCCTCTTAAAGACCATTATAAAAACAATGATGTGTCCAGAGCAGTAGATCACTCACAAGTTCCTGTTTTGCTCACCAGCAGCGTCCCGAAAAGTGCATTCTGTGCTCGTATGAGATTGTAGAAATATCAAGGATGGGTCCATAGTGCTTTGATTTAGTTAAATGTTGTCTCCAAGAAATGTTAAGTATAGCTCTTATCATCTGAGTTTAGGTTCCATCAAGCTTAGACTTAAGGGTTTTAGTTAATGTTCAAGCAGTGGCACCATATATTAACAGTGCCTTTTTAAATCATTTCACCGCAAGCAATAATGCCACTTTAAAAAAAAACATAACTTTCAAATATGATCTGTATTTATCTTCAAGTTTCGATTTATAATCAGTAAATAAAAAATCAACAGTTTTTCAAGTATAAAAAGTAGTTAAAAATAACATAGATTTTTTTTCCAATTTTGCATACCTTTTTCTGAAATAAATGAAAATCCTTATAGCTTAATGTATTACGAAACCACATTTATTCATTTTTTTCACCCCAAACAAGGCAGTAATGCTGCTAAAACACAATGGGCTAGAGGATGTGGAAGAATTAGGAACAGAATCAATGATGAGCAGAAAAAGAAGAGAATACTCAGGAGGACAGTAGATAGTGATTGACATTGCATTTAAATCTTTGCAGATTAAACTTGACTGGAAATCATGGAGCCAGAAGGGATTTGCACAAGTGAGAAGTGCAAGAGAAGAAACTATTAGCATAGAATTTATGGCTACATCTAGCCAGCTTAACCATAGATTGATGAGATCTTGATGCCAGTTTAGTGCTGTGCTTAAATTAAAAAACTCTAGGTACCATAGCAAAGAGCTCATTCGAACAATTACCATGAAAGTATTTATAGAAAAGACAAAGAGGTAGCCTCACAGCGGTGGGAAAGTAACTGAAGCTGAGCCACCAGATCAGGATCAATAATGTTGCCGATTCTTCTTTGGATCTTATCAAGGAGCTCCATGTAAATAGTAAGGGCACCAGACTATATGTGGCAGAAATATTCTAAGAATGGATGAATGGCAGACATAGATATTTAAGATAGATTCTGGAGAGAAAAATTGTTTTGCCCGACATAGTAAACTGACTTTCTTAGCAACTGACCTAGCAATGGATTCAATTAGTCTTTCCACTTCATGTCAGTAAGAACCTTAGCTCAAGAAGGCACAATGAGTCACTTAAGCTTGAGTGCTGGATTTTACGAAAAACAGCATAACTTTTCTGTTCTCTGCTGTTTAAAAATTGTATTATGCTTTTTTTTTTTTTTTTTTTTTTTTTTTGTAGGAGAGAGTTGATAAAAAATTTATCTCCAAATGGAATGAAGCAATTAAATTTTATGACAATTAGTCATCATGGATTCCAATGAACATCTGGATGTCTGTTATAGATCAACAGTTTTAACAAGCTTGTCTTGCCACCAACTCTCATGATTTAAATCTTTACCACCCCTCCCCCCGTTACTCTTATAGGTTTGGCTAAATTCAGTAAATATCAGCTATAAGCACTTGCTATAGAGAAGTGGCCAGCAAATGATGGTGGGTGGGAGCTTGCCATGTAAGTTTTAGCTATCACTAGAATCTTCATTAAGTAACCTACCTAACAAGCTTGTGCAAATGAATAGAACAGGGAGTGCGAGGCACAATATAAAGAGAGATATTGCTAAAAGCTACAAAGGAAGTTGTAGAGAGTCATGGTCGCCCATGTCCTGAAGAGACGTGGCATATAGAATAATAATAATAATAATAATAATAATAATAATAATGTTTATTAGTCATGTCTAGACTAAAATAAGTTAAATTACTTTTTGGGCCATATCAAAATTAATTTTTTAAAGTTAACAGTTTATACAATTATAGAAAAATATATGTAATATTTATATAATTTTCTACATGTAGAAAATTTCTTCAGATGATCTGGGCTTTTTTGAAAAGCCTGGATCATCTGAAGATGTTTTTGAAAAGCTTACAGCCATATCACATTGAAAGACCAGTTTCCATACGATCACTGAATTTAATCAATGTCAAGCCCAGTCAGTACCTAGATTGGTGACTACTTGGGAATACCTGGTGCTGTAAGCTTGGAAGTGCAGGTGGTGTAATGGATAATAGCTCAAAATTGTTAATTGGAGAGCTAAGTTCCTATTTTAGTTTGGTTTGTTATATTCACTTATGGGCAAATACCCTTGTACCGTGTATGTGTTTTATAGTAAGATTTGTATGACTAAATCATTATCTTCCCAAAAAATTTTTACAATCTAAAAATATTTTCTGGCTTTAAATAACCTGCAAATGGTTGATAAGCTGTAAAAAAAATGAATCAAGTTTTTGTTCTTATGTTCTCATCAACATTTCTTTTAAAAGTATCATAATAAGCATTTGATGGTCAGTCACTTCTGGGTTTTATTTCAAAGGACATGTCATAACCCTAAAAATGGTGAAGCCACTTTTGGATAGTACAATTAAATATTGTTAATATTAGTGTAATTCTTGGATTTCTACAAGTAGCTTAGCAGTTTTGAGGCTGAGTTTAAAATAATGCCTGAAAATTGTCCATATTTGTATCTTTCATTATAATTAGTGAAACAAAAGGAACAGCTGAATATTATTAGATTGTATTGATATAATATATTATATTACATAATTATATTATAGAGTTATAAGTTTTGAAGTAAAGTTCTATAAAAAAAATGTTTTAATACATTTAAATACAGTGATGTGAATAAAATTGGATAGATGAAATTGTTTTGTTTTTCAATTTTTTCAAGATCTACAAGGGACACAAAGTTGTGGAGTCATGATCGCCTATGGCCTGAGAGGACATGGCATATAAAGAAGAAGAATAGGCTGTGTTAGGGGTAGTTTTTCACAATACCACAAGTTACTACAAAACCAAATCATTAACTTAAAACTTGAGGCATCTTCTTAAGTAGTATTGTCAGATCATGACCTTCATATGGATGTGATGCATGGAGCTAAACTCATTCAGAAATATCTAAAACTAGCAGTAAAGCCCGGCATTGCCCGGGGATGTAACAGTAAGAGATAGATCAAGTATCGACCATCATAAAGACTGAAAAATAAAATTGACAAAGATTATTGTTTAAGGTTGACGGACATGCTGTCTTAATTAGTTTTTTTTTCTTTTTTTTTTTTTTTTTACGAATTGGTCAAACCCAAACGCAAACAAAAACATTGTTTTCAATCGTTATGAGTCTACCGATTGAATAGAATTTTATTATAAACAAATGCCTTGTAAATGGAATTTTTAAAGCATTCTGAATGTAAAAATAAAGAAAAAAGTGTGCAAGACAATAAGAAACAGTACCTGCCAAAAAAAAACATGAAGTTTTGTTGAAATCGGTTGAAAAATGTAGGAAATTCGATCCCATAGATAAATGAACACACACACACACAAACAACCTGGGTTTTATAATAAGTATAACTCGATATGAGTTGTCCCCTTTTCATTCTCGCGATGCCTCTTAATCATGTTTTCAAATTGATTTTATGCAAAAACAATTGTGTTTTTCCAATTTTTGGCACTGTCAGAACCACCACAGGGTAATTTTACATAGTCCTGTGAAGTTTTGTTGAAATCAGTTGAAAAATGTAGGAAATCCGATCCAATATATAAGTGTACAGACACACACACACAACCTGGGTTTTATAATAAGTATGATGTCAGCTGTATACAACTACTTTCTCAGATTGCTTTGTTAAAAATGGGTTTGAGTGGGTGAAGCAAGCAGATCTCAGTGAGTACTATTCTTTGAACTTCATGTAATGGCAGTACAGATTCACAAGCAAAGAAATGTACCAGATAACAGAAACCACATGACTTGAAGATTTTCAACAGCAAAAACAATTACAATGAGTAGCACATGTGGAGTAGATAGGTTTACCTATTGTCTGGTTCAGACTTCCACAAGTCTTTTGAACAGGAGTAGAGGTTTATCCCTTGTTTCTTTGCAGAATGAATGGCCATGGTTAAATGTAAAATAAATGACAGAACTGTCCAAAAAAAACAAATAAAACAGAATTGACAAAGTTTTCAATAAGCAATAACAAGTAAAAGAAAAGAACAGGGCAAAAAAATAATATAAAAAAAGTAAACAATATATGCAAGGCAAATTAACAGTAATAAAGTAAAGCAACAGTAATATGGCAGAAAGTTCACAAACTAAGAATTGAGGTTGACACACAAAAGCAAGTTCAGACAAGCAAATGTAACATACTGATTTCAAGACAAGACAGACCAAGACTGAGTCAGATGAAACTGAAAACCAGCCTATTTTATTGGCTAGGATAAAATCCCAGCATGCATTTGTGTGCTTTGGCCTTTAAATTGAAGAGGGCCAAGTGTTTTTCAGTCATTCCAGTATAGACTTGAATCAACAACTTCCATTTACTGAAATATTTTCTCATTTCTCTATTCTTACTTAATATGGTAAAAATTTCACAAATGAAGAATTGGGGTTAACACAAAAACAAGTTCAAACAAGCAAATGTAACATACTGTTTCCAAGACAAGACAGATCAAGACTGAGTCATATGAAACCCAGAACTGGCCAGGAAGAAATCCTAGCATGTATGCTTCTGCTTATAAATTGAGGAGGGGAGAGTTATTCTTACTAGAATTAGAACCAACATTCCTGCTTAGAATTAGAATTCCAGTTCCTTTTAAAGTCTTTTCATTCTCTTTCCCTTTCAGTAGCCCCTTATGTCTTAGTGGCATTATCACCTTGTTTGTGGTGAATTGATAAAAAAGAAAAGAAAAAGAGAATGATCAAGATACTGACATTCCACACTACTTCAAACAAAAGGTTAGGAAGGAAACCCACATCAGTACTAAAAAGAGCAATAGCAGTTACTGGACTTGGGAAAACTGTTTTAATAGAAAGATTATAGAAATTTCAACTTAAAACATCATTAGCTTTTTGATCAATGCTTAAGGAAACAGCTGATATGAATTTTAGCTGAAAGCATCATTAGATTTCCAATCAATGAATGTTGAACGTTTCCTTATAAGGAAATAGCTACTATTACCCTCACCATTACCACTACTAGTGAGTTTGATCCTCAATAGAGAGTATACTATTATGTCTTTTAGCCAAACCGTACTTACTGAATATCTCTACTAATGAGCTCATAATGTAGATAAGTAAGTTTTAGTAGCAACATCTAATGGTTTTGCACTCTTCATTCTGAATCTAATTTTACTCAAACATCTCTCAGCTAAATCTCTTTTCAGCTTCTGGTGCATTAAAAACTAAATGGGTCAAGGCTCTGAATCAAATTCTCTTAACTTTTAATATTTGAAATAGCAGCCATCTTTCCACCCTTAAATAAACAGACAAACATATGTGAACAGCTGAACGTCATGGCACTTAGCTGCGCATTCACAGACATAGACATATGCATGTTATTTGCTTATCCTAGATAGATGAAGCAGCTGTAACATTCCTCATTCATCTGCATTGATTGTTTTTGCCAAATGATGGAAGTAAGACATTGATATGCAGCCAACATGTTCCCTTCAACCTTACGCAACACCTCAGGGCTGTGTGGATGAATGTTTTAAGACTTTTGAGACAAGACATGCTGACACACAGATCAGGCGTTATACAAATTGATATCTGGCAAAAGATCAACTTTTGATTATTGCCAATGTTTTGAGATTGTCTGAATAGAGGGCTTTCTTTGCATCAAAAAACAAAATGAGATCACAGGTTGAGTAAACATGTGTACAGAATATTTGAACTCTTAGTAAAGAAAGAAGTATTATAAGATGGAGAATATTTTCTTTTTTTCCCTTAAATCTGAGCTGTAAAAAGTCAGGGAAAAAAGATTGGTTGGGTTATCTTTCACCTTTCTTTACTGTCTAATTTTGCATTGATATATAGTTAAATATATATGTAATGGGATTGGTTTAGCTAATAGGTAATTAACATAAAGTAAGCTATAACTATAGCTGACAGGCATCTTTGAGTCAGTGTACGTAGGATATCTATGGCTACTAGTTTAACCATCATAACAATATATCTGCATTTGAATATATTACTAGGTTTATGGAAATGGTTTAATTTAAAAAGAAAACTTTATTGCCCACCTATGGATGAAACAACAGGGTAGACTTGTCTTGCTAACCTTGTGTGGCAACCAGTCTAGGAGAAAAAAATCTCTGAATTTCAAACTATGGAAAAGTCAATGAGAAGCTACTGTACTAGCTTTCCCATGAATGCATAGCAGTTCACAGATAATAAAGAAAAGGAATCTGTGGAGAGCCATGAACAAGTACATTGTAAAGAGAGAAAGAAAACTGTATTTCAAACCCTGGAGAAAGCAACGGGAAACCACTCCATTATCTTTCCCAAAATGTCATGACAATTCACACATAATAAAGAAAAGGAATCTGTGGAGAACCATGACCATTAATGTTCTGAAGAGACATGATATTTAAAAAAGAAAAGAAAATGGAAAAACAGATTTATTACCTTTTCTTTGTGTATATTTTAAATAATTCTTTTAAGTACTGTGTCTCTATAGGACATGGGCGATCGTGGTCCTCCACAACTTCTTCTGTGTAGCTTTAAATAACAATTCTTCTTTGTTCCCACATTCTACTATCTATTCATACAGTCTCATTGTCGATTACTCAATGTTACCGTCTGGCTCTCTTGCCTTCAATATATCTTGTGAGTGTTAAATTTTCCAAATCCTCTACCCTTATTATATATCTCAGGAATTTTAACTGGTTCTTTCTGATTCTAAGTAGAGATGTTCTTTTTTTCTTTCATTTTTCTTAAACTTTCCTCACTGGTCACATATTCTGTCCATGGAATTCTCAGCATCTGTTTATAGAACCACATCATTGTTGCTTTTAGTTTCTTCTTTATCTGTGAAAAGACTGTCTAACATTTACTGCTATAAAGGAGAAGAGGTATGATATAGAAGTTTAGCACTCTTCTCTTTGTTTCTAATGAAATTTTTCCTAAATTTTAATACTTTGTTTAGTTTCTGTAAGTCTTCTTTCGCTATTCCACTGGGCCTTCATATTTCTGTGTCACATTTTCTGTC